GGGGGGGGGGGGGGGGGGGCACAGCATTGGTGCCACAACTCACTCATTTAGTATCTCATTTAATTCATTTTTTTAAATGGAACTGCCTAACACATAAAGAGCAAGTACTGAACCTGTAAATAAGAAGGAGCAACATAAAATAAATAAATAAATGTGATTTTTAAAAACCGGACTACATGGCAGTTATTCATTGACTTTGGTCAGACATCCCCTCCTCTCTGCATTTCTGCTTGACAGAAAACCAGGGTGGCTTCCTCTCAGAACATTGCAGAGTGGGAGTGCTTATCAAGAATTAATGACGCCCTTCAGATGGAAACTTAACAAGCCATACTTATCAGGAATCTCAAAAGTACGATTCCTGGTGCTCAATAAGTTCGGGGCTTTCAAATTATGATGAATGAGTGGCTGAAAATTACCTGATGAGTCATCTTAGATTAGCGCACTAGCGTTTTGAGTGAGCTTGTGCGTTGTGTGCTGAGGGAAAGACTTCCTCAACCCCCAAGATGCAGTGAGGCAAATGAGAACCTGCCAAGAGAGGAGGAGGGTCGTGCCCATAAAAGTGGAAGCTTGGATCAGTGAGCAAACTACATTTTCCTTTTAGCAACTTCACAGGGTGAGATGACGTGAATGGAGGCGTGAGAGTGTTCTTCAGTGGACGACACCTAAATCCAGAGCTTTCTTTAATGGGGGATGGTCCCTCTGTGTGTCTGTGCATACACTGATTTAATGGACTCGATACAATCACCATAAAAATCAAATGGGTGACACGGAGTGCACTACAAAATCATTCAAATGACTGCTATGGCTGATGGTAATAGCCAGTGTTAAACACAAGCCTGGGTGGAGATGAAGAAGAAATCACTCCGAGTGTGCTTAAGATTTTCCACAGAAGCTTTTTTTGTGTACATACTTATCGGAGGCTCTGTCAAAGTCACTCCCTGCTAAATATAATAAAGCAGTCTGAGTTCCAATTCAAAGAGTGGCTGAAGTAAATTCCTGAACACTGTCAGAAGTAGTCCAGGATTATTCACAGGAGCCTTACAGACTTAATTGATAGACAGACATATACAACCACACATTCAAATACGTATTCACTAAAGCATGGGTGGCTTACCAGAAGTTGACCAGGAAAGGATGTTCAAGGTTCTGCATGATCTGCAGCTCTTTCAAGACGTTCCTCACTTCGTTCCGCTCCACACATTTTAGCTTGTTCATGTACTTCATGGCGTACATCTTCTTAGTGTCCTTCTTCTGTACAATGCAGACCTGATCACAGAAAGGTACATTCTTTCACTGTTGTAGTCAAAATTAATACTGAATAATGTCTGTGTTCTGCTTGCACATCTCTGTCTTATGCTCCAGTACACTCAATGATGTTAAAAGTGACTCATACACAATATTGCTTTTTGCTAACTTTAAACAGCCAATCATCCAAACAAAATGATAATATAGTCCTTACTGCCAGTATGATAAACCACATGATAACATGTGATAAATATCATTGTTCCTCTTGGGCAAAATTATATAATTTTAAAATTGTAGCCACAAAGTAGTGAGATACATCATTCTTCCATGTTTGGTCAAGTATGGTCATTAGTTAGGTTGCATGATACATAGAAAAATAAACATTCTGATACAGAATTTGCAGCGTGTTTACCATCATTCATCCATGTTTGTCTAAAGCTTCATTGCTTGAGACTCATGGACACATTTAGTGTTATAATGCAATAACCAGAAATGTGGCCCATCTAAGGCTGGACGGAAACTTCAGGATTTCTCTTTAATCTCAGTGATCACAAACGTAATCCTCTTTTAAGACGTTAAACTTTTTACACCAGTTTGCCTTTTAGAGATGGGAAACATCATGCTACCATTCATTAGAAACTGCTACTGCATGTCAGTAGGGAATGTAGACCTTTCAAACAACACTTGTTGCACTTACATCAGTGAAAATAAATAGCATGACTCTCATGTGACGCAGCAAAATGTAGAATACAGCACCTGCAATCTGGGTAGCTGTTATTGCATGCATATATATATGCATATCAAATTGTATATGATTATCCCCTTTTGACAATGCGTCTGAGAATAGACACTATTTTCAATATGCAGGAGTGCAATATCCCATATTTATTTGTAGACAAGCTTGTGTGTGCTACAAGCGTCAATAAGCCTGTGATTACTGCTATCTAAGAGAGTGATCTGTGGACCAGCTGGCACAGTTAATCAGCCAAACCCTGATCGCATCACTCCTCCCTTTGAACAGCTTGCCATCTACTGTGATTAGACTGCTTATCTGTTGTTGGACAGAGTGTAGATGCTTTATGGGTCTGTGTATACATGTGCATGGGAGTGTGCATGTGCGTTGCTATATGTGCTTACATGTACTGTAAGTGCTGATGTGAATTACTCTGCAATATATGGCTTAACAGCAAGACTGCGATCACCTCTGATTTGTGTCTGTGGAGCTGTTGGTTGGTCTCGGGCAAATTAAACCGCAAGGCTTTACTAGCTTGTGTATGATGATAACTACTGACAGAGAGGGGACGCGGTATATCATTTGTCACGCCAAATGTCCACGTGCCTCTTTAAAGAAATTAATTTAAAGAGATTAATTATTTGCGCTTTTTTTTTCCAATTAGAAAAGCTTAACTTTCCCCCGCTTCCAGCTTCTAAATTGTGAGGATTTTCTGCTATTTGTTGTATAATGTGATAGTAAAATCAATAACTTCAGGTTTTGGAGTGTTGTTTGGACAAAACAAGCACTCTGTGATGGTAATTTTTCACTATTTTATGACACTTTACAGATCAAGTAAATAATCTCGTCAGTAATCAGTAATTGCAGCACCAGGATCACATGAAACATGAACAACATGTGATATTTGCATTTATTATGTAAGACTGGATCTAGTTTAGATATATTTGTTAGGGTTTCACATATTACCTATTTCTGTTGGTCTTGTTTTTAAGTGCATCTGTTGTAGGCAGGCTCCTGAGCAACCTCATGGGCTGTGTGATAGTTTATATGTCAGTACTGGTTTTTACCTTACATATGTCTATTGTTGTGACCTATTTGTCTGTTTGTTTTCTTTTTGTTTCCCCATTTAGGATTAATACATTTATGAAAAGAAACATGGACTTACTTTTCCAAAGCTTCCTTTTCCTATTGCTCTCAGGATCTGGAAGTGGTCGAAATTTACTGTGAGAAAGAAAAGAGTAAGTTAATAACAGAAATTTTAACCTGAAATCTGATTTTTAATTTTTTCTTTTCTCCTTCACTATTGAAACAAGGTGAAAATACTTTACAGGATCAACAACAAATACAATTTTAAAAAGCAATGGTGCCCCTTTACAGGGCCCTCTCACACCACATCCACTCCGTAAATTGTTTCACTCTGCTGGGAGCACAAGGGGTTTTGTATCAAGACTGTATTGGTTCTTACTGCGGCACGCTTACAGACCTCTGGTGTTGGACACAGTGTGGAGGAGAGATGTTCCAGATCTGGAACCTACATTTGACTGGGATAAAGTGTGGATCAGTGTGGGCTTAGCATCCAGAAACCCTGATCATCAGCAAATACATTATAATTATATACACAGGGTATATTTAACTCCTAGGAAGCTTCATTTGATGAAGGTTATTAATGATCCTACGTGTACTTTCTGTTCCTCCAAAGTGATTGGCAGTTATTTTCACATGTTTTGGGAGTGTGCCCCAGTGGCCAAATTTTGGAAGATGGTTGCCTTTAACCTCTCTAAATTGTTTAAGATTAGATTGCCCTGTTCACCTGCTACACTCATTTTGAATGATTTGTCAAGGCTGGGTTTAACACTGGATAAGAAAAGAGCATTATTGGCTGGGCTTACGGCTGCAAAAAAACTAGTTGCCACACGTTGGAAACCTCCACATTCACTATCTTTTCGAGCATGGGTTTTAACATATTTGAATATTGTCTATTTGGAGAGCTAGAGCTAGAGTCCACAGAGCAAAAGAGTCAGCAATAGAGGCTTGGCATTCACTCTTAACTATCCTCCGTGAGTTTCAGATGTAATATGTGACTGAGAGTTCTGGATCCAGGGGGTGGGTGGGTTATATTTGGGGTTTTATTTATTTATTTTTATTTTTATTATTTTATTTATAAAATGTATATATAGTTGTTTAATCATATGTATCTGTATATATGCATATGTATAGGTATGTATGTGAATATATATTTTATGCTCTATTTTTGTAATGTGTATATACCTATATGTATTTTTCCTTTAAAATAAAAAAAGGTTGATCACAAAAAAAACAAACACATTTTTCACAGAATATATAAGAGATCTTTAAACACTCTTTGAGCCTGACCATGGTCTTTGATGCTTTAAGTGGTTTTGATTCTGGAGAAAATCCCTAGAGTAAAGGGTAAAAAAAGCCCCCATTAGTCTTATTACCTTTTAAGTAACACTGAGTATCCATTTAATCTGATGGAGCAGCACAGCAGGGTGTGTGTGAGTGGGAGAAGTATTCAGATATTTCGCTTAAGTAAAAGTAGAAATGCAGCAATGTAAAAAATGGTCCAAAGTCCAACCTCAACTATTTCTGGAAAATCTTTTTAAAGTGATTATTACAGCAATTTTTACTGCTTTGACTCTTGCAATCACATGTCAAAAAAACTCGCTGCAGTGGCTTAATTCTATAACTGAAGGCACTCGCTTAAATAGTAACAATAGTAATAATAGCTGTATTGTTGCCTCACTGCACAGATCAGCCTTCCATGATGTGAAACATAATTGAAACTTAAAAAAGGGTATCGT